GCAGTTTTTTTTTCTTTTACCAGAAGGTGCCTCAGATCTGAAACTCGGTGAATAAGTGGACTTAATAGCTATTCTATTAGGATATTGTAGAACTGACATGTAATTCTGCAGTATTTCTGGTAATACTAGTACTGTGATACTGCTTTCCATTAGTACGATGGTACTACTTAGTAGGAGAACATCGCATTTTTCAATGTTCTATGGCTATTCCAGTCTAATCTTACTACATATTCCCCATCCCCTCACTATCAATTGCTTCCTAAGCAGTTTTGTAATCGACGTTTTTCTTCCCCGTAATCCGACTATAGATCTGATTGCTTTTTTTCTGCCCTTTTTTTTCTTCGCATGTCGGCATTGTCATTCGTTTTCCCCCGTTTGAAACCATTGCCGCCGTAGGTGGGTGGCACTGCCCTCTTGATTCGTGGCGATTACCATTTCATCCCTCCGAGTGGCGCGCATGAGGGTGAGAGACATGCAAGTCTATTGAGGTATAAATCCCATATAAACCGATTGACGACTCGTGATGAACTCGCTACTAGTAAAAAAACATCTATATAACAGCTGGAAGCAAATGTGCAAAGAATTTGGCGTGTAAAGAATCGGTGAACGCTATTCAATAGACCTCACAACGATTTCGATCTCCTCGTTTCGACATCGGGCCAGCGAAAAAAGGCGTTTAAAGCGTACGTCAGGGCATGAAGGAAACGGTTCCAGCGCGATATCTTTCATCTTGGCCCTCGTTTACCTCGTTCATCGCTGCCAGTTGCCCCTCGGAATATGTCACATAAGTGGGTGGTCGACATTTTTTTTCATGTAATTAATGACTATCGCAAAACCAGACCCAGTTATCCTTGAGCAAATAACCCGTCGCAAACATGAAATTCATCAACGGATCGATTAATGACGTCTCTCGTGAGCCTCAACCAGGTAACAACGATCGGTGCCATCGGTCGATGAGCTTCATGAAGTGATTCCGGCCACCCAAAGAGCTGCCGAATCCACTATAAGACTATAATTGTCGTATGCCAATAGCTCAGCAACTCAGTCTGGCATTGACCCTTGCCCATGTTGGATACGGGAACGCCCACGGGACGTGAGGGTGGGTCACCACAAAAGTACATACGCCATCCAGCAACACTTACGGCATTGAAGAAATCCATCACAATACGTCGTATATTATAAGTGAAAGCTTCAAACGCGTCCCGACTTTAAAATAATGCGAGCGATATAAATGGGCCGTTTCGTTCGATGTCAAATCTCGAGGGAGGTCGGCTTGGGTAGAGGCCTGAAAGTAAGTGTGAAGCGGAACCAGGAGATTCAATGGATGAGCACTGACCCGAGGCAAACCAACAAAAGTGATTCACTATTCACTATTTTTGTTAGTATTGTGCCGATTTTCCAAAAAGTATAGCTCTTTGAGAAGCGTCTGTTGTCGGGTTGCTTTCACAAACGCTACCTACTTATCTTCGTGTCATGCTGCACGTACTGTAAGTTTTTCCCGTTGCACTTGATAACGGGCACGAGCACTCCCTCCCACGGAGAATGAAACTCAGGGCAACGCAAAAACTTCATCAGTAAATCCCATTGAATGGTTCGAGCTAACAAAGTGATCGTTTCATCGCTTTTCAGTTTTTTTTTTTTTTTCTATACAACGCGTCTCATTAAGCAGTACAACATGCAGTATTCGTTCTCGGATGTGGTAGTGGTTGATGAGTTGTCTAACGACCACCTGCTGACACCTGTATTGACACGAGTCGATGTGGTCCCAGAAGCACATGCTTACTGCTAAACAAATATTTAATGTACGCTGTAGTCGGGTTACTTATCTCTCGTTGTCACCCATCACCCCGTCAAACCCCCATTTTTAACCTCGCGTCGAATAGCTATATCAATCCAGCCTGCCTGTGGTTTTCGAACCAGTCGCGCGTTCAGAACATGTCCAGGTGCCGAACCCAACAGCGGTACAGGCGATCGTGCGATGTGTGAAATGGGATGTCAGTAAGACCCCCCCTTACCAAAATGGGTGTCTCGGTACGACCCTTCCATCCTCGAACACCTACCACCCACTTTCCTACATATTCCCAGCTTCCTACCAGTTTCTTCCGAAATTTCTCGAAAATTTGCTAATTTTCCCCAAACATATTCCATCTAGGAGGGGGTGGGGAGAGGGGGGAAGTCGTCAGCAACCAGCTACTATTCTCAATTATCGGAAATAGTAGTTATATAGAACTATGCCGGCGCCAAACAAAAGGGCGCGGCGTGGTATCAGCAGGGAAATGGGGAATGCCCAGACATCCTGGGAAAAATTTTTTCCGGAAGCGCGGCAAACTTCTTCCCTCAAAGGCACATATGACTGCCCCCCTCTCCAAACGGCTAAGTACGATGTGTTCCCACACAAACGATGCCTGTACCCGAAATCTGCAAGTGCAGACGATACGATAAGGGTCATATTGGAGGAGAGGAGAAAAGCGGAAAGTGCTTTGCGTGGCAGAAACAAGCACGCAAACGGAATTGAAACTGGGGCGCTCGTTGCTCTCATCATTCCTCTTTAGTCTGCATCTAGTCGCCACCCGTTTTTGCCTTGGGTGCCACGAATGGGAGAGAGAGAGAAGCTGGGCAATCAGTGAAGGCAAAGCGATGTGTTCAAATCTTCTAAGCTATGCCTGCCTACTAGTGCTCAGCAGGTGGTCGCATTGAATTGTTGATATTTTGCATGTGCAGGAATCAGGGTAAAACAATCATTAGCAATGAACGAATAGATCAAAAACTGAGTTCAGAAGAGCCATTGAGAGAACGGCATATCACTTACATAACACATAAGAACCACAGAATTACACTTTCAATTAGGCCTAGACTGCAATTTCCTGCGCTAGCCTTATGTAAGCCACAGCTATGAATACTGATAGATGCTGAGGCGAACTTTCTCGGAAAACATTTAGGCTATTGAATTGCAAAGGCATACGGAGAGGTTCATTCACGAGGAATTTCAATTGTGGCAGTGGTGTCATTCAAGTTATAAGAAATGGGAAGGTCAAAGAACATCATTAAACCAGTAAGTTAATCGATAACAACGGAAACGTAATCAAAACTGACCTTTGGACGTGGACGAACGTCTTTAATGCCAAGACTGAGATCATCAGCAGCATGTTGTAATCTGCAATTACAGAATAACAAAATCATTGCTAGCGTAGTAATCCGTGGCATCATCGTCATGTAGTTGGCTAGCTAGTAAGTTGGTAAAGCTAGCTCTGAAGCGCTGATGTCTAAAAGCCGTTAGTGCGGAAGACAGTGTGACAGGACTGTAGGAGAAGGGGTTGGACTGTAGTGTTTTTCTAAGGATGATGACAGGGTTTAGAAGAAAAGACGATGGCACGCAGACGAGGGGGGTCTTCTGATGAGTCCGTCAACGGAGGCTGACGGCTATCAGTTCGGATCTACGCCAACAGCACGCTCCGCCTACCACCCCACTGGCTGCTCTCTCGCTCAGCCCGTCTCTCTGCCTACGCTCTCGTTTGGCCGGAATAGGCGGCGACGATGGCGGCCGTCTACGACGGAAAAATTACGGCAGTTTTTGTCTATAAGCTTGTGATAACAGATCAACAGCACTGATATAAAAGAAGTGATAGAACGACTTGGCCAAATGGACGAGGTTTCTAGTGGGATGAGCTTATATTTGGTAGATGAGGAGTGAAGAACGACCTTCTATTGCCCCTTTGAATTAGTTTTCCGTGCAATTGAACGTGCCTGTTGTCAGGATGTACAAGTGCTTTACATTGACGGAAACGTAGTAAGATGAGTCAAAAAGATTAACAAATGTCCGTGTTCGATAAATCAAATGACGACGAAAAAAGCGCGAATGAATCACGGCAAAGCATCGCTATCTGTCAGCACTGCAAGGCATTTTCCCTTCTCTCTCTCTCCGTCTTTCTTTTCATCCTTTTTCCCCTCGTTGAGATGGAATTCTTCGTCTTGTCCTTGGAATTTTATTCGTAACTACTCCAAGTACGAGACGATCCGTCTTTGTCGTTGTACACGGCCAACGAATTAACTATGGGAAGGCAAACATATCGTGTGGGAAGCTCTAGCGCGTAGAGTTCTCAGGTACACAGCCATCCAAATACACACTAGACCTGAGCAGAAATCCGCCTCAGACCTAGGGGAACTATGCAAAGAACAACTCTGCCGCTTACACGGAAATCGGAAAGCGGAATTTCACGCAATCTCACCTGACGATATTTGTGCCATTCCAGCAGGATTCCCCTTCAGAAGCAGCTGAACAAGTTCGATTTGCGATCTGAGACCAACAATTCCGCAACGTTCGCATCTTCAATGACATCATCTGGCCTGGACAAGTTCGTCCGATCCCCCGAAAATCACGGAAATGAAAAAAAAAAACTCACATGTTCGACGAGTTCCCTAGTCATTGGCTTCACTTCGTGCGGCTTTTGTGGTTTTGAGCCAATAAAGGATGTCGTGTAGGCAGTGCTCTCTTTCAGTAATGGCCCACATTTACTAACAACAACTTTAGCAAGACGTGGCGCTTTCATCTGTACCAGCCTTCTCATACCATTGACGATTCCTTGAACCAGCTGAAACAGATTTGATCTGACTATTGGTCCGTGCTGAAGTCACTTCAATATCCGAACGTTTTGAAATACGTATAGGTCCCGACAACCCAAAAGTCTCAGAAGAAAGCTAGGAAGCCTCGACAGTTGATCTGCCCGTAATTTCGATGAATAGCCCTCAGGGTACAGCATCGTTGTGTAAAACATCGGGATTGTACTTTCCGCTGAGGGGGGGGTCGGGTGGTATTTGTAGGGAGGGGGGCGTGTATGTGGCTTGAGGGAATTCTGCCGCGTTGGATAGAAAATGTTCCCGGTTGTTGACTTTTTCATGATTTTTCCTGTTTTACGTGTACCATGTACCCCCCCCCTCGCTCCACGGTAAGTTTTTAGGTGAAAAAGCTGAAAATGTGGGGAAAAATCGGAGAAACTGGTAGGAAGCTGGGAACTTGTAGGGAAGTGGTAGGTAGGTGTTGTGGAAGAGGGGTAGGAGTCGTACCGAGACCATTTTTCGGAGAGGGGTGGGGGGGGGTCGTCTTGACATTAAAATTTCCCATATCACGATGCTGTACCCTGGTAGCACTTTGTCAAGCCGATTCGAAGATCAAAACATGACTAGTTTGAACAGACTGTACATAGAGCTGCCACGGCCGCCCCAGTACAGCTACCCTCACCAGTGCCTCACTTTGAAGAATAACCTGAGTAATTCAGCCCTCTACCTCCCTATCCTATCCGCCACAATGTGCACTACTGTTAGGCACACCCATCGGGATCACGGCCACCATTCGTGACAACTTTTCAGACAGGGTACAGCATCGCTGGAGTAATCTCATCAGGGTTGGGCTTGGTAGTTATGAGGAGGGGGTCGTAGCTAGCCGTTGGCCTTGTTATACCCCCTCCCCCCCCCCTCCCTTCCTAGTTGGCAGCGCGCTGTCGAAGTCCTATACAACTACTATTTTCGATAGTTGTAATCAGTAGTTATTTAGTTAGATACCTTTCCCGTCCCGCCTCTGCGGCAGTTTTTTTGCAGATTTTGATGAGAAACCTGAAAATTTCTCTACAAGCGGGAAAAGGGGCATAACGAGGAGGAAAATTTCTTCGACACTGTACTTGACTTAGATGAAACATGTTCGTCAACGAGCAAGTTTGCTTTTGTTTTGATTTGGCATGTCAGACGACCGCCCCCCCCCAAACCCCTTCCTGAGCCGTGCCGACCGTCCCTTTCCTTATAACTATACTACTTACCATGCTCCCAAATTTTCCCGAATTCCTACCGGTTCAGCTCCCATCACACTTGACCTTGCTGAACTCTCAGGCGGGACTCATTTGTGAAAGGCTTGGACGTTCATATCGGCAATGTGACCAAAAAGCTAATCTAAAAAGATTGCGGCCGCAGGTGGCAGGCAGCACCAACTGCCCTCTGCATCCGATTCAGATGAGAACTATTAGATTCCTCATTAAGTAACCCGACGACGAGCATGTCAACTAAAGAACACCATGTCGAGAGAACTCGATTTCATCTTCGTAGGTGGTCCTTCAAATCACAACGAATCTGGTCTTATGAAAATGACTATCTATCAAACGGTGTAGAACACATTGGGAACAATTGTCATTTTCTATATAAAAACTTGTGGGGGAAAAAACGCCATTACTCATGGGCCAACCTAATACTTACATAAGCTGCTGGTGAAAATGGGTTTCTGAATATTGGTTGACTAAACCGAGGAAAAGTTAGAGCAGTTCAACTTCCGGCAGTTTTAGGAATTCCTGCATATCTGCCTCATCGAGTTGTCTAGAGAAGCTTTCGAAAAAATGGGAAACTAATATCGATGAGCTTTATGAGCTAACAAGGAAATACGATAAAGGATTTGACCACGTAAGTTTCATTTTCAAGCAGATTCGTTGTGATTTGAAGGACCACCTACGAAGATGAAATCGAGTTCTCTCGACATGGTGTTCTTTAGTTGACATGCTCGTCGTCGGGTTACTTAATGAGGAATCTAATAGTTCTCATCTGAATCGGATGCAGAGGGCAGTTGGTGCTGCCTGCCACCTGCGGCCGCAATCTTTTTAGATTAGCTTTTTGGTCACATTGCCGATATGAACGTCCAAGCCTTTCACAAATGAGTCCCGCCTGAGAGTTCAGCAAGGTCAAGTGTGATGGGAGCTGAACCGGTAGGAATTCGGGAAAATTTGGGAGCATGGTAAGTAGTATAAGGAAAGGGAGGTCGCACCGAAGGAATGGGTTTGGGGGGGGGGGGTCGTCTGACATCCAAATCAAAGAACTTGCTCGTGACCGCAACCATGTTCATCTAAGTCAAGCACAGTGTCGAAGAAATTTTCCTCCTCGTTACGCCCCTTTTCCCGCTTGTAGAGAAATTTTCAGGTTTCTCATCAAAATCTGCAAAAAAACTGCCGCAGGGGGCGGGACGGGAAAGGTATCTAACTAAATAACTACTGATTACAACTATCGAAAATAGTAGTTGTATAGGACTTCGACAGCGCGCTGCCAACTAGGAAGGGAGGGGGGGGGGTAAACAAGGCCAACGGCTAGCTACGACCCCCTCCTCATAACTACCAAGCCCAACCCTGATGAGATTACTCCAGCGATGCTGTACCCTGTCTGAAAAGTTGTCACGAATGGTGGCCGTGATCCCGATGGGTGCCTAACAGTAGTGCACATTGTGGCGGATAGGATAGGGAGGTAGAGGGCTGAATTACTCAGGTTATTCTTCAAAGTGAGGCACTGGTGAGGGTAGCTGTACTGGGGCGGCCGTGGCAGCTCTATGTACAGTCTGTTCAAACTAGTCATGTTTTGATCTTCGAATCGGCTTGACAAAGTGCTACCAGGGTACAGCATCGTGATATGGGAAATTTTAATGTCAAGACGACCCCCCCCCCACCCCTCTCCGAAAAATGGTCTCGGTACGACTCCTACCCCTCTTCCACAACACCTACCTACCACTTCCCTACAAGTTCCCAGCTTCCTACCAGTTTTCCGAAATTTCCCCACATTTTCAGTTTTTCACCTAAAAACTTACCGTGGAGCGAGGGGGGGGTACATGGTACACGTAAAACAGGAAAAATCATGAAAAAGTCAACAACCGGGAACATTTTCTATCCAACGCGGCAGAATTCCCTCAAGCCACATACCCCCCTCCCTACAAATACCACCACCCCCCTCAGCGGAAAAGTACAATCCCCCATGTATTTTACACAACGATGCTGTACCCTGAGGGCTATTCATCGAAATTACGGGCAGCTATCAACTGTCGAGGCTTTCTAGCTTTTTCTGAGACTTTTGGGTTGTCGGGACCTATACGTATTTCAAAACGTTCGGATATTGAAG